CCTCCTCCTCCTCCTCCTCTCTCTCCCGCTCGCTCGCTGGCAGTGCCGGGAGCAGGCTGGCCGAGCGAGGCAGCGCCGTGCCCTCTGTCTGAACCGGCTCGGCTCGGCTCGGCTCGGGACCCCGGGAGGAGCCCGCATCCGCGGAAAACAGCCGCCCGCGTCAGAGCTGGAGGAGGAGGAGGAGCCGAGATTCGGCAGGAAGGAAGCGCGCACAGAAAATAGGAAGGAGGCGCCTCGCGCGTTCAAAACAAGCAGACGGCGACTGGGGCTCCCTGCTCCGCCGGACAGACAGGAGAAACCGCCACCCCGCACGCCATCACCCGCAGGGCAGCCGCTCCCCGGCCTCCTGCGCACACCCCGTCCCCGAGCATGTCCGAGCGAGGAGGAGGAGGCGGCAGCGGCGGCGGAGGAGGAGGAGGAGGGCTCCCCCGGGCTGGCGGGGCTCCGTCCCCCCACCTCCAGCCCCCGAAGCCGGTGACCATCGCCTCCGCCCGCCCGGTGCAGATGAACCTGTACGCCACCTGGGAGGTGGACCGCTCGCTGCCCAGCTGCGTGCCCAGGTAGGCGCCGCCGACCCGCGCTCTCTCTGCTGCTTCCCGGCCGGACCGGACGGGCGATCCGTCGTCAGCCCCGCCCCTTAAAGACGGGCGGCCCGGCCGGGACGGGTGCGTGCCCCGGACTGGGGGTCCCGGGGGTTCCCCGCCCCTCCGGTCCTGAGGAATGCGGGCCGCTCTCAAATTCTTCCTCCGGCGGTGGCGTGTCCGTACAGGCGGCTGATCATCGAGCGTTTCTTTATTTTTTTTTCTGCATTTCTGCGAAGCGCTAAACATGCGAAGCGCTTTCAATTTGTACCGGGACGGTGGTGGTGGTGGTGGTGGTGGTGATGGGGGGTGTGAGGGCGAGCTCTTTCGGGGTGCGTGACAGGCGCCTCAAATCTCTCCCCGTTTCTCTCGCTCCCTTGATGTAAGTGGGGCTCTCCCCCCCAGCGCCCCTCCTCCTCTCTCCTCGCCCTTGGTGCGAAGACCTGCCGGTTTATCGATGATTTATTCAGTTCAATTCAATTTATTTTCTATATAGCGCCTTTCACAACAAGGTTACCTCTGTGGACTATTTATCCACAGAGAAAGGTCGACCCCCCCCCCCGCAAGAAATAAACACGGCAGGACGACCGCGCAGCGAGACGTGCCTCCCACTCGGGCTGCGTGCGCAGGATGCGGTGCCGGTGCCGGTACCGAGCGGACCGGCGGACCCGGGTCTGCGCTGGCGTCAGTCCGCCCAGTCCGGATCGGGGCCGCGGTCACGGGGGGGGGGCTTTCCGATGGATCCGTTCGGGACGTGGATCGCCGGTTCCGTCCCCTCCGACGGCCGGGTCTCCTGGTCCGCCAGAGGGAGGTTCTGGGCCGCGGAGCCCGTGTCCCGCCGCGGTGCAGCTCGAGTTCCACACAGCCGGGGGCCCAGAGCAGGGGGGCGCTTCTTTACACACAGGGTGGTGGGAGAGTGGAACAAGCCGCCCAGCCCTGCTCTCTTCCGGGCTCCCTGTCCAGTCTGCTGCGCTGGGCTCGGGAACAGGGTCCGAGCAGAGGGGCAGAGGTGGGGCGATCTCGCGCGCTCGCATTGGCGTGGGTTCTGTCTCGCGTCGGCGTGGCGCTGAGGAATTCCGAATGGCAGATGTCCCTCCCTCCCTCCTGCGGAGCGATGTCCCGTGTTTCCCGGCTCCGCCTGACTCTTCCCCTTGAAGCTGTCGCTGAGCTCGGACGGGGCGCTGGGCGCTGTCCCGCAGAGGGCATCAGGAAACACTTCCTGTGCCAGGGTGGAGAGGCCAGGTGCCAAGACAAACAGGCTGGCTCCTGAGCCCCCGGCAGTGCCCATCTGTAACACCCACACACACACACACTGACACACACACGCACACAGGCGCAGATTTCCCAAGGACTGAGACAAGGACAGGGCTGAAATTAGACCCCTGAGTCTCGGGACTGTTTAAAGGTGGAAAAAGAATCATTTCTGCTTTCGGCACGTCGTACTGTGCCTCTCCACGAGGTAACTGGAGTCTCACTGCGCTGGACTGTGCTTTTACCCTGATCTCACTGCGCTGGACTGTGCTTTTACCCCGATCTCACTGGGCTCTACTGTGCTGTACTGTGCGTTTACCCTGATCTCACTGTGCTGTACTGTGCTTTTACGCTGATCTCGCTGGGCTCTACTGCGCTGTACTGTGCTTTTACCCTGATCTCACTGGGCTCTACTGCACTGGACTGTGCTTTCACCCTGATCTCACTGGGCTCTACTGCACTGTACTGTGCTTTTACCCTGATCTCACTGGACTTTTATAACTGTATCAGTCAATGCAGACTGACCTACTGTACAACAGAAAGATTAGAATTTCCAGTTCCTGGTGGAGTTTCTGTAGAAGAGTCTCCTGTAGTTAAAGCAACTGACAGCACTGTCACACCTGGAGCGGATCAGACTG